CACGATTTACTGGTAAATTAAGTGTTCAAAGTGTGCCAAGAAAACATTCCCCAGTCTATCTGTATTGTTGGCAACAGCATGGAGTCATCTTTTTAAAGCCCAATGACCCTGCTGTCTGCAGTCTCAGCATAAAGGAAGTTTTGTTAGAAGTTTTTCTGTCCAGATTTAGTGAACCGATGCTCTTCACAACCTCCAGTTTCAGAAACCTGACACGGCCCTTTATTGTAGTCCATCCACCTCAAAGTTGGTGTGTTTGTGTGACGTGAATCAGTCAGGATTGTTTGATAACTATATAACGCTATAATATTTTTTTCTTTACAACATATTTTCAAACTGGAGATGAAATGTTTGGGTGGATGAAACCGACAAATTAGAAACAAAAATCTGCAACTACAGTAGAAATTCACAGCAGCAGAGGACCATAAACACCCACAAAACTCCATTCAATCTTAGTAATTAGAAAAAAGGTATTTTCACATTGAGAATGCACTGATGATCCACGATGATCTCAGTGTCCTTAAAAACTTTATGTGGGCGATCATAAATGCTCCAATAGTGGATCTTTATTTACCTCAGAGATCGACTGGAGACATGTTTATAACAAACATTATTGACAATATTTCTTTTTATATTTGCTCAGTTTCATTAATAATGGTTAATATCTGTCAGTTAAGCTGTTTTGACGGCTCTAACTGTGCAGCTGGTTGTTGTTCAGCGATATTAGTAAGTTACTGCTCAACATGTTGCATTTACAAAACATACTCTGGAAGCAGAAAAAATAGGATTTCGCTCAAATTTGGCACTTTGGGGTGATTTTTAAACCAAAATCAAATGAAACCTGCTCCAGTCTGGGATATGTGTACAGCATAAGTTACCATAGTGATCTAGCTCGATAAAAACAGAGCCAGCAACTTTGTGACACTAACCAGTCTGACTGTAAACTGGACATATCTCATTAACCCATAAATCTAGCTTTATAGTTGCACCCCTCCAGGCTCATGCATGACCCAAGTTGGTAACTTCAAAGTTGGTTACTTAATCTGCACTTCTCCTTTAGTAAGTTAGTGCTTAGTGACGGACAGTACAGTTTTTTCTGTTTGTGTGTGTGTGTGTGTGTGTGTGTGTTCGTGTTCGTGTTCCTTCTGACTCTGCAAATGACACTTCAGTGAGTCGTCGTCTTTCCTTCCCTTTCCTACTAGACTTTCAGTATGAAACAAGAAGCTTTGCTCATATTTCTCCTAATATTGCAAAGCAGCTGTTCAGACAGTTTTTCTAACTAAAAATGCAAAGGTCAGGGCTGGAGTGATAATTCCAACGTACTGATGGAGTTTGAATAGCAAATCATTATGTAACTCCTTCATGCTTTAGTTCTGTACTTGGCTGCTGTTTATTTTTTGTTATTGTTTATTTGTGGATAGTTTAATAGGGGGCTTTGTGTGAAATCCTCAAATTTAATAAAAAAGGATTTGGATTAAATCATTTATTTTAAAATGCATGATTTGTGTGTGCGTGTGTGTGTGTGTGTGTGTGTGCGTGTGTGTGTGTAAACTGTGATGGCTTGCGTGGCTGTGGGAGAGTTGGATTAACGGTTATTTAGCCAGATTTTTTATCTGTGAATAAACATTGCAAGCAAAGAAATGCTCTTTGGGGTTCAGCGGGGTGCGGTTTTCCTGCTTGTGTGGTTGTTCTTGGTGTTTTGTTGGCGCAGGAAGTGAAAGCAGACAGACCACAGTGAAACCAGTTCTGACTAAACCCAAACATAACCCATGTTCTTCCTAAGAATGAGCTGTTAGACTTTGTCCGGCAGGAATTGCATCATAATGTCAGAAATCTGACTCCTGCGTGGTTTATTTTTTTAAATAGAGAACAGTAATGAAGCACAATCTTATTATCGACTGTATTTCTGCTGCCTCTTAGAATGTGCTACCTTTAGATAGACGTGTTTTTAGTCAAACATGATGACAGTTTTACAAATAAGCTTCACACCAGAGACCTTGACGGACCTAAATGTGTGATATCACTGGTTTAATGTTTCTGTTAAAATATAAGCAGAGATGAGGTGAAAGTGAATTAAAAATATTTTTCTTTCTTTGGGTTAAATTTAAAAGGGGAAGTCCTCTGCAATCTGAAGGTATCCAATTAATAAACATATCGTAAATCTAAGATCAATCTTTGTTAGATTTGACTATTAAAATTGTTGTTTATGAACAGAGAAAAAAGAAGAAAGAAAAAAGAAGGAAATCATGGACCCGGAATTCTTTGCAGTTTATTTAATGTTTTGTCCGGTCCCCCGACACAAACAGAGTAACATAGTGTACCCTGTTAAGTGCCAGGAGGATTACCAGGATTTATACATCGGGGAAACCAAACAACCTCTGGCGAAGCGGATGGCACAACACAGAAGAGCGGCCTCGTCAGGCCAGGACTCTGCAGTCTATTCACACCTACAGGCCAGTGGACACTCAAGGATGAGGATGTACACATCCTGGACAGGGAGGAATGCTGGTTTGAGGGCGGAGTCAAGGAGGCCATTTACGTGAAAAGGGAAAGACCATATCTGAATCAAGGAGGGAGCCTAAGGGTACATGTTTCGCCATCTTACAATGCTGTGATTGCAGCCATTCCCCAACTCTCTGTGAATGGTACTCATGGCCATTGATCAGTGAGTTTTGGTCAGTGATTGTTGATCAATGGTCATGACAATTTGCATGATCATGATGAACTGACCCCCAAGGCCAATGTTCCCTCAGTGGGCTGGTTTCAGTCATTATGCAAATGTAGTGTTTATAGGGCTGGGGAAACCTGCAGTCAGCTGAGACTGAAGAAGTCACCTGGATGAGTGACAAAACGTTTCTCCCACAGAACGCTACGTCCAGATGAACAGAATCAACTTTTGGAGATTCCTGGATGATTGAGAATGCATCACGACGATAAATCAATGAAAGCATATAAAGAGCTAACTTGAGTTTTTTGTGTAGAATCACATAAAAATATATAAACAGGGAAATTGAAAAGAGCCCGTTTTCGCCGTCTGACTAAGATGTGTCCGGGACACCACCTTGTTATTTCAGGAGGCACCGGGGCAGACCCAGAACACACGGGGAGATCATGTTTCTGTGCTGCCTTGGGAACACCTCTGCCTCCCCCCCCCCCGGAAGAGCTGGAGGAGGGGCTGGTAATAGGGAGGTCTTGGCATCTCTGCTTGGACTGCTGCCTCCAAAACCTGGACCCATTAAGCATCAGAAAATGGATGGATGTCATATGTATCATAGTAAAGCAAGGTGCTGGGTATATTAAAAGCTATGGAGACTGTGAGAATTCATTAGGGGCTCCTGTGGTGGTTCTGGAGGTCAATGTCAACTAGTGTTTAATTCTTATTTGCTCACATGAAAACTGTATACAATTCAGCACACATCAAGATATTTATAGAATTACAGCATGCTGAAAGATTTACGGCATCTTTCAGTTCAATGTTTGAGTTTTATAGCCCACAACGATACTATTTTTCATTCTTATTGAACAAATCTCATTTTAGGCAGCAAGCAGACATGGTTGGAACATGAGTTGGGGGTCAGTGTTCAGCCTGAGGATGTGGTGGAGACCAAAAGTTGAGCTAAAAGAGAGAAAATATCTGATTTTGATTCGTGTGACCTAAACCCAACAGTTAATCTGTCATCATTGCTAAAATGTTTGCAAAAAAATCTGTGGGACAATCCCAAAAGGTTGATTCTGTTCATCTGGACGTAGCATTACATCCAAATGCACAGAATCAACTTTTCGGGATGTCCTTCCCTGGATAATTGAGCATGCATCAAGACTGTGGAACAATCCTCTGACCACAGGCTGATCACCTGATAAAATAAAGTTCACACTTCACCTGAAAGATCTTTAAACATTACAGCTTTAATCTAAGTGGGCTTTACTCAGCTCCAAACGGCAGATAGATGGAACCTGGATATGATAATGTGGATGTTTATATCAGTGATGTCAGTCAGGATTTCAGGATTGCCACACGGTAAAGCATTGCTTTACTTCAGAAACCTTTTCTCGTGCTTTCTTATAAGCGCTCTTATCCATTTTTTAACCTCCTATACACATCTTTTCTTTTCCTGGATTCCTCTTTAATCCCCTTTCTTGTACTACAGCCTACCGGTCCATTCTCCTCCTCCTTTATTCTCCCGCAGCGGCAGTTAACCTCACATAAGACACTAATCCAAAGATCAGGATTAACAGAGGAGAAGCACAGGAAGCACATATTCCCCTGTACAATTGTATGTCTTAGCATGCGGAGCAAGAGTTGGGGAAAAAAAGGAAAAACAAACAAAAAGGGATCAGTGGTGTTCACGTGTGCACTCATGAATGAAGAGGATTCACTGGAGAGGATTTTCACACAAACTGACCCAGAAACATGAATGTGAAGAGAAATGCTGTGCGTGGGTGAAACACACCAGTGAGCTTGTCATGTTGGCTGGATGACTCATCCAAAATTTGGGATGTGGACCGGGAATTTTGCATAATTCCAATTAAGAAATTCACCTGAAGTTCTTTTCAGGCAACATGAAATGATCCATTTAATGAACTGAACTGACCGTCAGACAGGAACTGTAATGGGTTTAGAGCGCTCTGATGTTGGTCGCTGTGCTGCCGTTAATGATACCCTGACATTTCTTTTCAGTGCACAAGCAGCGAGTGGTTACATGTTGACTCTGAGATCAAATGTTTCTCTGTTGGTTTAGACCAGACTCAAGGCTTCCTGATTATTTTTCCCCCACAGCAACTGAACCTGAAGTCTGTAATAAGCAATTAATGTCAGATAAAGAGTTTTAAAAACACATCAGAACAGGATTCTTAGAGCTAGTTTTATCCACAGAGACGGTTGCTTTTAAAATCTAAAAGTTTAATTGGCACATTCTGATCTGTTTTACTCTGCAGTCTCAGCATACATCCAGTTTTGTTCCTTATCTTTGACTTAACCACCATATTCCCTCATTACCTGCCAGGTGAGCCCCGGGCTCCAGACTGAGTGCTAGCCATGCTGCAGCAGATTGAGCCATCGTCCAGCACCCTGCAGCTGGTTGCCAGTGATATGAGCGACATCATGGACAATCTGGACACCCGCGATCTCGATTTAGGCGATGGAGATTATGACACGACAGACACCAATGCACCTGGTACCTGCCATCACTGCACTCTGTACAGGTGTTTCTCTACTTGTTGTGTAAGCGATTTGTTTGTGTAACTGTTTATATTTTTTCAATAGCAGAGGGTTTGCCTTTTAAAGAGATTTACAACACAGTGGGTTTCAAGGAGACAGAGGCCAAAGTCTACCTTTCCTCTCCCATCACTGTCAAAATCCTGGAGGTGGAGCGTTTCACCTCAGTTCAGGACCGCTTCAACCTCACCACGCAGAGGAGCGTCAACAAGGTGAAGAGCTTTTTGTCACTGTAGGGAAGAAAATGCATTTAGCCGTACACTATACATGAAACATGGAGGTAGCCACTGTGACGTCACAGTTTGAGCCAGAAGGGACTATATTTGTAGAAGAGGATGGTGTGCTAAGCTGCAGCTAGATGGTTAGCAAGCTGCATCTGTATATTGTGTGGATGCAACACAGGCACAGATACCTGCTGATTAGGGCTAAGCAAGAAACTGGGTACCAGAGTTTTACTTACCAATACTGTAACATAGGTGATGGGTGAATATCTGTCCATTAAAATGCTCTTAAAAGCACCAGCAGTAAAAATGCACTGAAAAGGTCCATTTTAGTAACTTGATGTAGCTGAGGTTGGGTGTAGCAGCAGCTGAGATGGCATCTACAGTCATGGATAAAGCAGAAGAAGTCATTATTCCAGTGTCCCAGGGAAACTTTTAGCTGCTTAGGAAAACCAGGTGACTCGATTACTTAAAGATTCCAACAACGTAGTAAAAGTTGGCAGTTTATCAACCAGAAACAAAAGAAATGATGTCAAAATTCTAGACTAAATCCCAAACTTTATTCTAATCCCATTTATTTGATGAGCTTTTTGAAATGATAAACACTGAATGTAAATAACTGGAGGCCCTGCTGTGTGTGCAGTCAATGCCAGCTGTGTATAAAATTGAGATGAAACATGGAGAGTTTACATGGTTGGTGAAGAGGAAGGAGAAGCACTTCATCGATCTCCACAGAGAACTGAGAACATACAAGACCTTCATGAAGATTCCACTTCCACGCAGGTACCTCAGTGCCTCCTGTGCCTATTCACAGTTCATATTTTATCTTCACTGTGCTTTGCAGAGCTCATTTTTCTGCCTGTATTTCCACTGCATGTTCTTGGATTTGAACACACAGCCTCCTAACAAAACTTTATTTTATTTCTCTCTCTGCAGTCACACGGTGAAGAGGAACATACCGTTGAGGAGTGAGGTGAGCCAGATCCCAGAACTCCCCAGAGGAGGCGATGGCGAACTGGACAGAGGAGTTTCCAGTCGAAGGGTAAATTGCTCCTGATGGCCGATATTTAATTTTATGGTACCAGATTTATGTACTACGTATATTAAATTGTACTGAATATTTCTCATTGTTTCCTTGATCTAGAAACAACTGGAAGATTACTTGAATACTGTGCTAGCGATGCAGATGTATAGGAACTACCACGCTACGGTAAGGACACAAAAGTTACAAAGTAACTACATTCTGCTCATTTTCAGCTCCATGTTTTTGTTTTTGGATTCTATCAGAGTCACTTTGCATAATTCACAGTTCCAAATAATCCTTCTTACCTTAAACTTGGCCCCTCAGTTTTAGGTCCAACCCCCTCTAAGCCAACTTCTGATTGGCTACATCTTGCAAACAGGTTTAAGTAAGAAGTGGGCAGGGCTTCTTTATCTAACATGACCGGGTTAAAAAAGAGAGAAAGAAACTGAGTGTTTAGAGTATTCTGGAATCCGAGCTTCATTTTTAAAAACTTTGGCAATGCTTAATATGAACATCCACTGTAGTAACACTGTACATAATAGAGAAAAGCATAACAGTTAACCTTGAAAGGTTTCAATATATTTTGGAAAACACTGACGACCTTTTCAGGTCAACTTAGAAGATGATAAGTAGACAACAATCTTGTGAAAGTGAGTTTATAAATATTTTTGCTTGATTTTCAGATGGAGTTCATTGATGTTAGTCAATTGTCTTTCATTCACGACCTGGGACCAAAAGGACTGTAAGAATCATTTGTTATCAATGTGTCAATTTTTCACTGAAATCTTGCACTTTAAGAAATATATCCAGTGAAATTCTGAAATTTCTACTCAAAGATGGTGTAGGTGGGGAGTGTAGGTTAAAGTTGATGGCAAAATATTTAATCTTGTCTTGCTTTGTATAATAAGGTTCTCCTAACCAGTCCTTTCTAAGTATTTTTCTATATTATGAACTGTCCTTTTGTCTTTTAGAGAGGGAATGGTGCTGAAGAGATCCGGCGGCCATCGGATCCCCGGCATGAACTGCTGTGGTCGCAGCAGAATGTGCTACCGCTGGTCCAAACGGTCAGTAAATAATCAGGATTCTTACAGGATGTTTGCTTAGCCTTAATAGTCTTGGTCATTTTCAATGTGAGCTTGTGATATGTCACAAATACACAGCAGCTTGGGTAAAACAGGAAATGACGGGGAAGCTTAGAGACATCTTACCGGTGCATCACCTCGTCTATGCAGAAGATGCAATGCTGTATTTATTGGCTGTTTAATCTGAGGAAAGGGTTCAATTCTTGGGGCTTCTGAAGTGAAAAGTTAGTACTCGATTTAAGAAAAACATTTGAATCTATCTATGTAGCTGACAAACCAAACGTCCTGAAGATGAGATTTAAATATAAAGCATTTAAAGCAATGTTTTATGTTATGCTATCTTATCTGGAACCTTATCTGTACAAACCTTCCTTAGATTTATACTTGAAATTAGTGTTAAAATCACTGTAACGGTCTGCAAATTGTACAACTGCAGTTCAGAATCGTTAACGCCTTGGATACGGAGTAAAATGCTGACACGTCATTTTAACAGAGCCTCTTATTAATGGCAGGAAAGAAGGGTTAACAGGTAAGTCCACTAAACAACAAGAGGAAACTTTGATTAGGATCGTCAGTGTTGCCACAGCTGACTGACTCAAAAACAGTAAAGTTCTTTCCATTTAGCTTTAGATTCATTTTCTTTAGCAAACAGTAGAATTCACCTTTGAGTCTTTTTATTTAAATCCTTCATCTTATTCCCAGGATGTGCATCATAAGTTAAATGCAAATCCACACTCAATCACGCAAGGATAGGAACTAATTGCATGAACTCCTGGGTGTGAAATGGTGAACAGAAGAATATTAATATTAGAAACATTGCTCTGTGTATTTGTTGCGCTTCATAGGGGGTTTCCTGAACCATCCTGCTTGGTTCATTACAAGTAGGAAGAGTTGACATTTAACCAGTTAAATATGTGGCACGCCAAATGGGGTATTTAACCTTTTTAAAATGCCGTGATCCATCATAACAGATAAACATTTTGAATCTAAGAAGCTCGTCAGCTTTATTTATTTATGTATTTATTTTAAAGGGGAGCCATTATGTTTACATAAGCCAAATGGTGTTTAAGGAAGTATATGACAATAAAAAAGTTTTACTTAAAATACTGCCTGTGTGTGTGTGTGTGCAGCTGGTTGGTGGTGAAGGACTCGTTTCTGCTGTACATGAAGATGGATTCAGGCGCCATCTCCTTTGTAATGCTGTTTGACAAAGAGTTTGGCATCAAGATGGACTCCAAGGACACGGATACCAAACACGGCGTCCGTGTGGACAGTCTCTCCAGGTCTGCGATGGCTATTTTTACTGCTTATGTTCAATATTTTAAGGCTTGAAGAAAATCAGAAACTGAAGTAGTGTTTGTGCAGGTCTTTGGTGCTCAAGTGCAACAGCTACAGACATGCCCGCTGGTGGGGTCAGTCCATTGAAGGTTTTGTCCAGAAGAATGGCTCAGCCTTCCTCAAAGATCACCGCTTTGGATCTTTCGCTAGAGTGGAAGTGAACATCCCTGCCAAATGGTAACCACACTTACTCTTTCTGCTGTAGTTACACTCACATTTGACACCTTAAAACCTGTTATTTAACATTCAGATCACTTCTAGTCAAAGTAGTTTCAGTTCCTGAGTCACATTAGACCGAGTTAGGGATACACCGATCTACATTTGTGGACTGTGCATCGGGCCGATCTTGTTGACAGACTCTTAGACGATTTCTTTATTTCAGTTCTTTGTTGTTCTGTGTTTACTTCAGTTTAAAAGCAGCAAAACAATATAAGAGAACCTCAGTAATGGATACCTCCAAAACACACATCACTATTCTGCTGCAATAGGTAACTGCATCATAACTGGAAAGCTCTCAGCGCCTGATACAGAAAGTGAATGCAGAGCTGTTAAAATGCTATTTAATGATGCTCTCAAGTGAAAGAGTGAGTGAAGGCTGCAAAGTTCAGCTGCAAGTGAACACATCACCATTTAAACTGAACTTCTGGATAACAGCGGGTAAAATCCACTGCCATTATAAAGCATTACAGTACAGTTTCCATAAAAGCAAGCGAACAAGATGTGGATACAGGTCAGTTTTTTCTTCACTGCTGTGACGCTGATGCTTCAGGCAACTTAAAACTCGGCAGCAAGCAGACACAGTTGGAACTTAGAGATTTAAACTTAAATGGATACGAGCTGATCTGTGTATGAACTGAGCTTCTTTTATTTATTAACAAGCAGTAAAAAACAGCCTCACATCTTCCTCTTAACCTTAAACTGAAGCACTTTAGTGCCAATCACCAGACCCAGGATCACTTTAAAAAAAAGTCTAGACAATACCCGGTCCAGCTGGCACAGTGTGCAGGTTAGTGTGTGTTTGTGTACTTCTGCCTTTGTGGGAACTGCTTTGAGGTTTAGACTTTAAACATGAGGACATTTATAGAAAGTGATGAGCCACTTTTAGAGATTTAAAGACTGTAGCTGCGAGGTTACACAAAGAAAAAGCATTATGTAAGAGGCAATCCTCACAAGGTAGATGCACAAATGTGTGTCTCGCGCTGGAGTAACCCGACACAAAGCAAGGGAAAGTGAGACTCGCCTGCTCATCACCTGTCCTCCCGCTGGGGAACCCTATACCATCTGTGAGACACACTGTGAGTGAGTGTGTGCCTGCTGTCAAGAGCATAAGGATTCAACAGGCAATGGACAGATTGAAAAGTGAGAGGAGAAGTGTTCGTTTCATTTTTCTTTCTGTCCAAACAAGAGCAAAAAGCATCAAACACTGCAATGAAACCAGAGGACGGCTAAAGCTGAAACCTCGGAGGCTGAAAAATGAACCTAGTGCTCAAGTTCCAATAACTGCAGGTCCTCTAATGTCCACTGGGGCTGGCTTCAAAAGTGAGTCAGTTCCCTACAGACTCCCATGTTAAAATGCCTAATTTTACAGCAGAAGTAAACATGTTTACAGCCTCCTGCAGAAACTGTTTTGTCTCTTAGACAGGATCAAAGGTCAGGGAAAGCTGGAACAGCTGGGTTTGAGGAGGGATGAGAACACGCTCCCATTCTCTGTTAAACAGAAGACAGAGCAATCAGCAAGTTTTCCCACCTGGTGCACGAGAGAGAGAAAAATGAAGAAGTGAAGGTGGAGGAAGGACATGAGGAAGGGTGTGACAGGGAGAGGGAACAAAGAGGAGGGAGGGCAAGAAGTGCACGTCAGGCTACGTCGCAGGTTATAATTCAAATAGCACAAGAAAAAACTATTCCTACTCTGATTCACTCCTCCTACATAAATAAAAAAGTTAGCACTCCACTCACGAGTCAAATAGAAATAAAAGCAACTTAAATAAGAGTCAATCTCAGCGAGTTAAAGCAGCAGACACATCACAACCTCCACAGCTGTGTCTTTGTCAGAGAAGGTGGACAGATGGTAATTACATGCAGGAGGAGATGTGAGGATAGTGTTGCAGTTTAATTCAGCATGCATGGCTTCCACAACATCCTACAGCAGGGGTGGGGAACTCCAGGCCTCGAGGGCCGGCGTCCTGCAGGTTTTAGATGTGTCCTTGATCCCACACAGCTGATCTAAATGGCTAAATTACCTCTTCACCATGTCTTGAAGTTCTCCAGAGGCCGGATAATGAACTAATCATTTGATTCAGGTGTGCTGACCCAGGCTGATATCTAAAACCTGCAGGACACCGGCCCTCTCGGCCTGGAGTTGCCCCACCCCTGTCCTACAGCAACATGATGACCAGTCAGGTTATAGATAAGTGGGACCCTTCATCAGGACCCTGATTAGAAACCCCTCCAGGCTCGACTCATAACTCATAATCCCCCAGGTTAAAATCAGCTGAGACAGTTTGGAATGAGTTGGAGTAAAGGAAGGACAATTCCGTTTATGAAGGGCACACCTTCAAAATAAAAGAATCCAGAATATTTTATAATTTTATATGTGGTGAACTAGTTCTGATGCCTTCTGTGTTGTTGTTCACAGTAGGAAAGAAAATAAACAAAGTGTTGAATGGGAGAAAAAAAACAGATTTCATGGATGTCTTGTCTTGTGCTCCTTCGATTATTTCTTTTTTTTGTACTTTTTAATATGAAATTTAAAAAAAAAAACTGTTTTGGACTGATTTTCCCATTTTGAGAAGGCGATGATTGAAGTGTAATTTGTGGGTTTGTTTGTGGTTCTTCTGAAGGTACGTGAACGGGAAAACATACATGGAGGATGTGGCCAATGCTCTCGAAGAAGCCAAGGAGGAAATCTTTATCACCGACTGGTGGTGAGTGTTCAGCGCACACAGAGCTGTGAGTGTGTCTGTGTGTGTGTTTCATAGTGCACTGAGTGCATGTGGCGGTCACCTCTAAGAGAGGTTTCTGGTCAAATAGATCAGTTACAGTCTAGCTACTGTTACTTACACACACACACACACACACACACACACACACACACACACACACACACACACACACACACACACACACACACACACACACACACACACAGACACACAGACAGACAGTATTTGTTTTTATAAATCAGTCTTACCACTAAACAAAAATACTACATTTTACTTGCATATATATATATATATGTATATAAAAAAATAAAAAAATAAGTGTGTGTAAGTGTAATCAAGTATCCTGGAGGCCGGAGTCCACAGTTTTAAGTCTACTGGTATGCTTCCGGATTAGCTAGAGAGGAAGTAAAGGGAAAGAGAAAAGGGAAACCAGAAAACAAGCAAAGTAAGGAACAGAAAAGATGAATGAAAGGAAAGGAGGAGGAAGCGTAACAGTGAGAGTGAACTGAGGGGAAAAACCTTTTTGGCCTGTTTCGTCCCGCAGGCTGAGTCCAGAGATCTTTTTGAAAAGGCCAGTTGTTGAAGGAAACCGATGGCGTCTCGACTGCATACTAAAACGCAAAGCGGTAAGAAGGACGTTTTTCTTAGTTTTTATAGCAAAAGTAAAGCTGTCATGTCAATTTCTCCATATTGATATAATACAAAGTATTTTTCCCTAAATTTAAGGTTGTGTCCTGATTCATTGTTTCCCTGCTCTCCTCCACAGCAACAAGGAGTTCGAATCTTTGTGATGCTCTACAAGGAGGTGGAGTTAGCTCTGGGCATTAACTCAGGATACAGCAAGAGAACACTGCTGCGCCTCCACCCCAACATCAAGGCAAGTACACAAGTGTAAAGGCCTTCTGCAGGTTCATAATGGCTGAAACGTTGCATTTCTTCTCTAAATTTTGGGATATTTTGTTCACCAGGTGATGCGCCACCCAGACCACGTCTCCTCCGCTGTGTACCTGTGGGCGCATCATGAGAAGATCATCGTCATTGATCAGTCGGTGGCCTTTGTGGGTGGGATTGACCTTGCTTATGGACGTTGGGATGACAGGGAACACCGGCTCACCGATGTTGGGAGTGTGACGCTCTCTCACTTGGAGCAGGTTACTTCTTCAATTTAGTGTCACTTTGTGCAAGAATCAAAACATTTTATAGACCTATTTTCCCATCATCACTCTCCACAGATACTTATCTCGTTTCTTTCAAATAGACTAAAGGATTTAATGCTCTGCTCACATTGAGAAAACCCTGCACAAAAACATACCCAGACAGGTGTTTAGAACCCTCCTCCCATGTTCTGATATTAGGTGCTAATTAACCTCCTTATAACCAAGGGTGTTCCCCAGGGAACCATTCTAGGGCCTCTCAAATTAATAACACTCTTAGCCACAATATCACAAATGCCTACTCCAACTTTTATGTTTCTGATAGAGTGATCTGCTGCTCAAAGTCTTCTTCTAACCAAGCTTTCTATCAACTGAATAACTTTTTAAAAACTTTTCTTAGTAAAAAATATTAAAAACCCAAAAAGAACAGAGGGAAAATGATCTAAAAATGAACCCAATAGTCATAATTAATATAAATTAACTGAATTAACTGGATCAGACTTACATTAAAGAAAGCAGCACAAGAGTGATAATACATCTGTTTTATTACTGTTTATTAGGCTGCAGCTGCCTCTCCCAGCATGGCTGCCCAAGCCAACGGCAGTGGTACGTTTTCCCAGAGCAACGGAAAAGGCGTATTCACTGTGGCAGACTCGATGGACCAGCCAAGGCTAAAGAGTCACGGGAGGTTGAGGAGGACCAGGATGAGCATCAGAAGACACCTGCAGAAACACGGGCTGGCCCATCCCGATAGCGACAGTGACCTGGAGCACGAAGAGTGTGAGTTTTGCAAAAGTGCATGCACAACACAGCAGATGCACAGAACACGCTTATGTCAGGGTGCATGGGTGTACTTTCACTTTAAAAAAACAAAAACTGCTTAGTCGACTTTATGTGCAGAGTGTGTGTCTCTGCAAAAATAAAAGATTTTTGCTCACCGGCGCTTAAATTATGTTGTGTTTTCATCCTTGCCTTCAGTATTTTCACATGGTTTTGATGAAACAGATACAATTTGTTTAGGTTAGCTTAGGCATGGTAAGACAGACTGTGAGCCACATGGGACTCTATCGGCTAATGATATTGGTATCTGCTGCCTCCATGTCTCCATCACATTCTGCTCTTTTTAAATGTAGTTTCATAGGATGATCTAAAGTGGCTCTTTTGATGTTGGAGGTTGCCGACACATGGGTTAGGTAAACAGTACTGTGTGTTACTGGTGTACGATTCATGCCATTTTGGGAATGACAGTGCTATGGAAGATGATAGGTGACAGAGTGAGGTAATCATCAATAATCAAAGCATCAGCTTTGCCCCCATAAACTTTGCAAAGATTAATGAAATAGAAAACAGGAATTAAAGACAAATGAATCTAAAACTATTAGTTTAGGTTGTTTTTTGTCTTTCTATGTTAATCTCTTTTAAATACATTTCATCTTAAAATGTAAATTTTTACTAGGTTTATTTATTCCTTGCTTTTATTTTATTTATTTTTTTTATTTCCTTTCTTTCTATTACTTTAATAAGAACATTTATTATTATCTGTTTATCTTTATTAAATCAATACATGCATTCTTTCTTGTTAGCTATTTCTTTACTCTCTTTTTGTTAAATTAAAACATTTCTTCCATTGTTTTCATCATATTTGATGGTGGCGTTCGTGCTGATGCTTTTTTATCTGCCTCGGTCTCGTCAGTCTCTCGTATTATGTGGCCATCAGAACTGCATCAAGAACAGCTGAAATTAACCTGTAATTAATGAGGTGTTATTAATTAACATGAACTCAAATGCTCCTGCTTAGAGGGAAGAAGGTGATTTGATGTGTGTTTTCATGGGCGCTGCGTTTAGGTTGGTCTGACAGCATCAGCAGCCATCAGGCTCTGATCCCCGGCAGGCTGTCAGAGCCGAGGGTGGCCATACCGCTCGGCCTGTGCCAGGCTGGTGAGTTGGAGGCAGGGTGGCTGCTAGATCGCCTGTTTTGCAGTGTGCTTTGCTGTGGTTTCAGCTTGACTGACATTTGATTCTGTTTGTCAAAGGTCAATCTAAGCTTCTATTTTTTTATTTAACTTTAATTAAGACACGACATTTAATCAAAAGAATAAATGTTATACCAGGAAAACAATTAGTAGAAATTTTTGTGTGCCAATGCAGTCGCTACTGTATGAGTTATCACTAACAAGCAAGCATTAACAGACCTGATTTAATGCTTCCACCTAACGGGCCTCTATGTGAACCATAAGTCCCGTTGATTTTCTAAACAAAACTAAAATCTCACTCAAAAGTCACAGTTTAATGTTCCCGATCGACTGACTTAGAGAGACTTGGAGCTTTTTATTGTCACTGTGCAGTTTCTTGCACAGCGAAATTGGGTAGCTGGACTACAAAGGTGCAAAAGTAAAAAAAAAAGAGAAAACAATATACAACGAGGGAAAAATAAAAAGCAATATGTATGTGTACATATATACATATATGTGAGTGAACTATATACATGGTGTATGCATTGGAGACATTGAAACAGAAACATTGTGGGGCTGTATACAAGGGCATGCAATAACACGTTTTGATCAAACGACCAAAGGTTCTCAGTGCTGTTATCTAGTCCATTGCACCTGCACACGCAGTGAGCTGAGAGCATGAATACATTCATAAACGTCAAAAAAAGCTAAGAAATGGGGGAGTAAGGGGAAAAAACGCACACACAGAGGGTGAAAACGTGTATTTGTGAGTTTAATGATAAGGAATCAACCAGCCTTCTCTTAAATAACTCACAGCTCAGTCTGATTGTGGCCTGTTTCAGATTTTCCCTTTAATGATATACCACAGCCTGTAATCACTTTCACTCCATTTATTTATTTTTTTAAACAAACACGTTTCTGAGCGTGTTTCGTTCCTGCAGTAAAACAGCTGCTGCAGGCTTTGTGTTTTTAGCTGCAGGAGGCATTTTGTTTGTTTGCCACGTTCATCTACGTTTATCCTGCTGATGTCATATCACAGGGAACGTGATGCAAATTAAACAATAAGGGCAGAAAAATCACCCCTGCTGTTGCTTCTTCTCTTTGTTTGCACATCTGATACAGTTGACCGTATGAATATGTTTTTGAAATGAGCCTCCAGCCTGGCGGGTAGGTGAAGTGATTGTAGTGCAAACAGGGTGAGTGGAGTTCAGTCTGCTTGCAGCCTCTATGCCCTGTCCTCCTTCCAGCTGCTGTTTCATGTCTTTAAAATGGCTGTTGAAGCATTTTCAACACCCATATATCACTGACAGAGTCTCCATGGCTCTCTAAGATAAGCTGCACTGTAAAATTGAATTAGTTCCCAGAACTTAAAAAGACTATGCAAACTCATTGCCTCAAAAAACAAAGTGAAGTTTACTTAAGATAACGTTCATTGCAGGTATACAGTACTAAGAATAGCCAGGTGTTTCTGGCACAATACTAAATGTTTACCCTCTGACAATCATTTCAAGTTCTACTAAATTAAAAAATAATTTGTGCTAACTTACTTAAAAAAATCACATTATTTTTTTATCATCCTTGAAATTTCTAGTACAGCATTTATATTAATATAACACTGAATACAAGTATCATTCAAAAAGAACTCATTTGCTTTCTTAAACATTTTTTTCCTGCATTTGCTGTAGAACAGACCTCAAAGTAGACAATCTCAGGCTCCCTCCCCACCGGAGAGGCGACATTCAATGTCCCACCTGTCAGTCTGGATAGCCCTGACCACCACCCAACACACATTAATGTCAGGAAAGCATATTTTTAAAAAGAGCTATGTTCAAGAACTTTTCATTGTGATTATTTGTATAATAATTTGGACACAAAGCAAATTTAACTGTTCAAAAACTTGCAGACTTCATTATATATTGTGCAGACAGTGTGGACCCTCTAAACCAGGGCTGGGTAACTCCAGGCCTCGAGGGCCAGTGTCCTGCAGGTTTTAGATCTCACCCAGAGTCAACACACCTGAATCCAGTGATTAGTTCATTATCAGGCCTCTGGTGTAGACACCTCTGCTCTAAACTAAGTTTGTGCGATATCATTTTTCAAGAAATGCAGATTAAACTGTCGTTGTTTGTATTTACTTACACAGGATGTCTTGTGGAATTAACTCATCAGTGACTGCATAGTGCAGTCATAACGCAACTCTAATATCAGAAGGCAGGAAACGATCAATAAAGAAACAAGTTCCCCAAAGCAAAGATCAAATGAAACAAGAAGTAAAACAGGTTGATCTGCAGTATAATTACAGTTGCAGTTATTAGCAATTGTCACTGACAATTACTAATATATTGGAAAACCAAAATACTTCCCACTCAGGTTATGTCTCTCTGTCCAGCAGCTGCTTTTCTAGACTCAGTTTGATAAGTAAGAGTTTGATGTAATGTGTGCTGTGCTGGTCCTGAGCCTCAAAGACTGTAAGAAGCAAGCAGAGGGAGAAAAACCATTTAGAAGCTGATTTGATCCTTAATAGCTGTGCAGACCCCATACAACCACATTAGACTAACACATTTAGTATTAAAAACATCATCTATTGCTGTGTCTGAATGTGTGTTATTGGCACTGTCAGTTTAGGCCTAAAGAGATATGTGTGTTAAATTAGGTGGTTTTATTTTTTAATGTAATGATTACATGCTTGTTAAAAGAGTCCATGTCCAACTTGTGGGATCTTTATCCCACATAAAAATGTATAAAACGACTTCAGGTGACTGTTGTCTAAGGAGCTTGGAAAGAACTGTTGTTGTTAATTGGCGCTACATAAACAACATTTAATAATTTAATAAAAAGCCAATGCTCATGTAAAGGTATTAAACCTATTTTTAAATGGCAGGCTTTTTTTTTGTTTGATTGTATGAAAGTGTACTTTTCATTTGATCTATGACCTCAGTAAACACTTTCCAGATCAGTTTATGGCCTCTATTGATCCACGGCCACTATTAAAATATGGTCCTTATTTGTATCACTTTGGACAATAAATCTCACGTACCGTGCTGACTCCATCCATCTCTGATATACAGTTTAACTGTGGTGTGTGCTTGGATGTGTATTTTTGTCAGCAGCAGTATCTTTGAAAATCCCACCATGAAAATGGTGCGTTGTTTAAACAGCACAGGTGCAACATCAGGAAAACTGAAATGCTCAAAGAAGAGACCGTTGTTATCATTGTATATTGACCATATAATGGTTTCAAATAAGTATAATAAGAACTGGTCAAAAATGAACTCCCCAGGTTGGGTGAACTCACTGAAATAGCTTTTATAAGAATAGTTCATTGTCTTCTTTTGATGATAGATAATTGATCAATATCAATTGTTTTTTAGCCTCTGACCCAGTGCAAAATGAGCCTGCGGGGGTCAGAGAGTTGCATGGGAACACGCGATTCTGGCACGGGAAAGACTACTGCAACTTTGTGCACAAGGACTGGATTCAGCTAGATAAGCCTTTCGATGGTAAGCACATCATTGATGGTCTCACTCTTGATGCAGGATGCTTTTCTTTAGGTCTGAACTTCCTGTTTCTGCTTCTTTAGATTTCATAGACAGGCACAAAACTCCCAGAATGCCTTGGCATGACATCGCCTCAGTGGTTCATGGGAAAGCAGCTCGGGATGTGGCCAGACACTTCATCCAGCGGTGGAATTTCACTAAGGTTGGGGGTCATGCTGCTGCTGCTTCAGTCTGAATAAAAATGACAGAACTGGGAAAGTTGTGATCAAAAATTATGTGATCCCTGGTTGAACTGACTTGCACTAAACAAAGTCTGCTTGATTTTCATGACTGTAGAAGAAAAAGTTGATGAGATCTCTTTTCTGTTGCATTACCAGCTTGTGAAGCCAAAGTACCGCTCCCTGTCATACCCATATCTGCTGCCCAAGTCTCACACCACTGCTGGAGAACAGCGATACCAAGTCCCCAACTGCATCCCCACCAAAGTACAGGTTAGTAGAGGTACTAACCCCCAAGTAGGCTATTTTGGGGTTGTTGTTATTTTTGCTGGCTTAGCTAATAGTCATCTGGTGTCAGTTATGTGCCTTATTCTTCGGTGAATTGATTAGTTAGTTTTACATTAATTGTAAAAAGTTGAAGCTACAAACATTGGTTTATATACTGTAATATACATTATTATGTAGTTTGTTGTGTCCGGATCAGCCGGTTTCTCACTTTTCAGACAGGAGCTTTATAATTATTAGGCCAGAACTTTGCCACTTGAACTGACGTGGCGTCCCCCAGAGCTCTGCCTTAGGTCCAATTATGTTTCTATTCAAGTCAATTCAGTTTTATGTATATAGCGCCAAATCACAACAGCAGTCGCCTCAAGGCGCTTCATATTGTACAGTAGATCGTACAATTGTACACGATTCCTTTTGCACACACATCCTTTCATTTCCATGAAGATAATATTCAGTGATTCATATCAAATAACCTTCGTAGAGTTTGACTGCATTGTCTTGTGGTCAGTTTAGGATCACATCAGTTGTGAATAAGATCTTTATTGTCCTTGCTTGGGGTTCTTCCCCAACTCAGAGGTAGAAATCCACTGTTTTCTGGCAGAGAACCAAGACCTCGTACTTGGAAACTGTACAAGGTCAGACTTGGAGGTGCTGACTCTCATTCCAGCTGCTTCACGTTCAACTGCAAAATACCTGCTGAAGATCACACTGAAATCAAACCAACAAAACATCATCTGAGATACAGTTCAGAGGTTCCCAAAACATAAAAAAGGAATGTTAAAAATGTTATAAATTTTCTACATAGTTATTTGTTTGTAATTTATTTGCTAACCCACATCAGGTTATTCAGCATGGAAAAATTGAGCAGAATAAAATCAAAATATGGGAATAAATGGGAATGCCAACTATCTGATAACCAAATATAGAAACATGTTCACAAGGAACAGTTTCCAACTTTTTTGTAAAAGCTGAAATAAACATAAAAAGGTAATAAATCTTGTCTGTGAAGTTTCCTCTGAGTGACAGGAAACAGAGTCCTGTGACTTATTCCCATCGCTAATCTGTGTTCCCTCAGATCCTGCGCTCAGCTTCAGATTGGTCTGCTGGCATCAAATACCATGAAGAGTCCATCCACAATGCCTACGTTCACGTCATCAAGAACAGCCAGCACTTCATCTACATAGAGGTTTTCATTTTTACACATATAACACCTTCCTGTAGTAGAAGTATACAACAAAAGTAGAAATTGTTTCTAAACGCTGCAACATAGAAAGATACCAACTTGATTTTTAAAGCTTCAGCCTTATTTTGGCTTCATGTTCTTGCAGAATCAGGTCTGCGTATGCAGCATGAAGCTTTGATATCCATAGGAGCACTTCGCTTTTCTTCACTGTGCAGAAAATATTTGTGACCTTTGTACAGGATATAAGAATGTTTCTGTTTTTATCTCCCAGAATCAGTTCTTCATCAGCTGTGCCGACAACAAATATGTTTTCAACCAGATAGGAGACGCGATTGCAGAGCGCATCATTCGTGCGTACAGGTAAAACACAGATGCACACGCACACAGCGTAACGCTGAAAGAACACACAGTTTGTCGATGTTTGTGTGGCTGCTGTGTGTTTAGAGTAAAAACACTCCAATGGACTCGACACTCGCTCTGGTTTATTGTGACATTATTTCCTAGAAACACAGTGTTTGTGTTGCTCTGTGTACCTTCCACATGTTTAACAGATGAACTCGGTCTGACACAGTCAAAGAGCTCTTTGGATACTTTCCTTTTGGTTCTCCTCTCTGTGATGTTTTGCTGGCGGGAAGTTTATTCTATCCTGCAGAAACACAAACCTGCCCCGACGTCTCTGTGGCTTCAGTTTATAAACAGTCTAGGATGGGTTTTTGATGAACCTTCCAGCTTTAGTGGATGCATACGCAGGAAAACATGTGTAGCATAATTAATGCATAATTCATTTAAAGATCTTTAAAATGGCCACACTCTGAAGTTCAAATTCTTAATCAAATCTTTTTATTTACACTATAGCAGATGTGGGTTTTTTTTACCCGCATAGATGCGTTTTTATCTGAGTTTATGCTTCACATCCGTTTTTGCACCAACTTCCTGGGCTCAAAGTCAAAGTTGTGCACAAGAACAATGTCCATTCTGGAAAATTCACGGACTGCTTGTTGTTGTACAGTTATTTAGAGGATTGTTTTGATTTTATAGTCATGTTTAGAAGGACTGAAGTACCTCTTCCTCCTCTCAAGTTACTGAGCTCGTTAAAATAGCCTTTAATGAGTGAAGCGCGAATATAACCCTCTACCAAACTATTGGATATTTCGGATGTTCTGGTCCTGGAGGCACTGATCTTTGTTTGATGGCATCTTGGATAAGGTTGCCAAACGGATGGACAGTTGATGGATGTTTAATCACCACCTGAAGTGTCAAGCCTGGTAGCGAACTCTGCAGTTGAGGGAAAAGCTGCCAATCATTGGATGTCATCAAATAAAGACAAACGAGTCTAAAATATTGTGAAAAGCTTCATAAATACACTGAAATGTTGTGATTTTCTATGTGTGATTTTTAGGGCGGGTAAAACGTATCGTGTTTATGTGGTGACGCCGCTGTTGCCGGGCTTTGAAGGAGACATCAACACTGGAGGCGGCAGCGCCATCCAGGCTGTCATGCACTTCAACTACAGGTGTGTGTGTGTTTGTAAGTAACAAAGAATGAGCCACGTTAAACCACTGCCACACCTTACCTTTTAACACACACACCTGTTAGATCTGCCGTGTGTGTGGGTGCTGTGTGCCTTCACTCCGTTCCTTTTTTTGTTGAAGCATTTTTTTCTCGCCCACATCCTTGAGTAAACAGGCAGCGCTTCCTGTTCAAACATGCTGACACACACAGAGCCTTGTGTTGTGTGGAATGTGGACTTGCTGCTAATCCTCCTCTGTCTCTCTGTCCCTGCAGGACCATGAACAGAGGAGACCACTCCATCATTTCCCAGCTCAAGAAAGAGAGTAAGTCAGCACTAACTGCAACACCCTGATGGTTACAGGGTGTCACGTAGCCGCTCTGGTTGGGACTATGAGCTCTCTTTGCACTGTATGCACTGTATTTTCCATCATTGTGTCACAGCCTTTAATATATGTAGGGTTAAGTTAATAAATTAGTTCTGAAAAAAGCAGTTTATTTACAGTCAGCTGAATCTTAGATAGACTTTTAATCTCAAATCCTGTTTATCGTGTATATTTGTGCAGTAATGCCTAAAGCTTGGTTTATACTTCTGCGGGAAATTTACGTCCTAACTTGTGTAGTAACCAGAAACTCCTTTTATCCCTAAAATGACACCGTCTATGCCATTCAAGTCATTGCAGCGCAGTGTTAAAATGGGATTCCAGTTACAGTGTAGATTGTTACAGTAACTTCAGCAATGTTTTCCTGTAAATTGTAGTTGTAGCAATGAAGCTCTTACCTGAGTCGGTTTGAACATTTTATTCGTAGTTCCCTCGCTCACTTCGGTTTCATTTGTATATCACCAACTCACACTTTTATATTGTAAGATAAATAATCGATAGTATTAGCCAGAGAAGCGCATCAGTCAGTTCCTTATGAGCAAACACTAGGTGACGGTGTGGATTTTCTGCTCTTTCTATACAATTTCAATGATCAAAACCCCCAAACTGCTAAAATACTGATGTGATTGTAACTGTGTGGTGTTTGCTTGCAGTGGGAGATAACTGGATAAACTACATCTCCATCGCTGGTCTGAGGACTCACACTGATCTGGAGGGGAAGCTCGTCACTGAGCTCATCTATGTCCACAGCAAGATGCTCATCGCGGACGACAACACCGTCGTCATCGGTGAGCAGCTTCAACTGAGTATAGGAATTAAATTCCACCCTGAACATGTATAATAGAGAAGCGAGAAATGAGAGCTGCAGAGTGAGACGTGTCAGAAGATTTTAGATGTTTTTAAAATGGTTCAAAACAAAGTCACGACTCAGTTTCCACAAGATAAGACCGTTTTCAAAGATGGAGAGGGATGAAATCAAACACCTGTTTCTGATGAGAGTTTGTCTTTTGTGCAGATTAGTGGAAGATGCTGTGCTTTACAGGAAGCTGATGATCTATTCGGTTTATAAGTTCATTTAAAGACGCGTGCTTCCACAACTCTGGTTTTATTTGGAAATTGCTATAAGAGTTTTAATAATTTAATTCAGAATTACAGAATTTCCAATAAATAGTATAATTTATACATTATTTTGATCACTGATGTCATAGTAGCTGTAAAAGACAATAAGTTTTCTTATTTTTGCAAATAAATGTTTGAAGTAAAAGACAAAAATGAGTGAATCTAAGGAAATTACTGAAGTGGATTCCTTAGATTTGACTTCTTGGTTTGTGTGTTATAAAATCATCAGGATCATTTCATGTAAACAACCAAACGCAGGGTATTACATTTTTGTTTGTTTGTTTTAATATTAAATGATGCTGTTTAAAAATGTTACCTTCTTACTGTGGACAGTTTCAGAGTTTCAGGCGCTTGAATTAAAATCTCGAGGTTTTTAGTTCAGGTTTTAAACTCACTGTGGGAGGGCACCACTTGTGGCCACAAGTGGCGTCATCTAAAGCCACTTTTTTATATATCGAGATATAAAATGAGACTGATGGGTTAATTTGGGAGGCAATGATTGAGTTTCTCAGATGTTTTCATAAGAAAGGCCCAGAGTGTTGTGTACGGATAATCTGAGAGTCGTTGACCCCCGGACGGATGTGGTGGTGATGGGGAGGAGAGTTAGTACAGTAGATTTCAAAGGCAGAATTATCTGATAATGTGGTGACATCAGTATTATAAATATTGGTTGACAATGTGGGGAAGTGATGGTTAAAATAACAAAAATACTCGGCCAGAATAAAGAGATAATCTGAGGGAGCAGAACTTCCTCCTCCAAACTTCATCTCAAGATCTCTTTTCTGTGAATCATCTCTAAGCTTAGGTGATAGTTGGCAGTAACTCTTGACCACTGAACAGTGTCAGCATCCTATAATACTGTCAGGATATGTTGCTGATGTCTTGACTGTTTTGTTGCTGTTTGCATCGTAAGTAAATTTAGGAATAAATGCGTTTTTCTCTGTTTTTAAATGGAAAGTTGGTGCTTTTATTTTGCCCACACCCACAAAGACAAGTTTAAAAGAAAAACATTTCCCTAAAAAGCTGAATTAGCACAAGAAAGTAAAAGTAAACTTTTATTTAACAAAAACTCTCCTGTTGAATTAATTGTAATTAAGTCTTTTAGTGTCTCGTGGTAGTTTTAGTGAAATGTATTTGTTTAGCTGCAGGTCTTATGATTAGGATGTGATTCTAACATAAAGTGAAGTGAAAACCTCCAGTACAATCAAACTGGCTGTGAGAGAGCTGCAAACAGCCTGAACAGCAGAAACCTAAACAGTCTAAAATCCAGTGTTGCAGCGCCCCCTGCTGGTGCTGTCTGTCCCCTGACGCCTGGTTTGATCCTCGGTTTCTTCAGGTTCTGCCAACATCAACGACCGGAGCATGCTGGGAAAGCGGGACAGTGAGGTGGCGGTGATCGTGGAGGACTCGGAGATGGTGGACTCGGTGATGGACGGAGAGCCGTACAAGGCGGGAAAATACGCCCTGCAGCTCCGGCTCGAGTGCTTCAAGTACTGAAAAATGTGCAATTACACATTATAAAGGCTTATTTGACAGAAACACTGATTATTTAATGATGATGATAACTGGAAACATACATTCTCAAATCAGCTGTCCAACGCTAACGTGGTGAAAGAATGGGAGGTTCAGTCCCAGCCTGAAGGAGCGTGTTTGAGGCAAAACCCTTCTTTCAGATTCATTTAATATTAGTGCATTACTGCTCTCTTAACCTCCTTGTTTTCTGACATGGATTCTGCTCTTCACCACCTCTCACTGGGTGCAGATTTCAAACTTCTCAGACTTTCAAACAGTCTCAGACTGCACACCTCTGCCAGTTTGTAAATTTCCCTTCACATCACGCACGACTTGAGTTTCTGCATCCATACTGACATCTAGATCCTGATTAGTTAGTTACATTGTTGTCTTTCAAAAAGAAAAAAAGAAACCAGAGAACAGATAAAAAGAGGTGTGATAGTCCAAACATCCACACAGTCACTGCTTCTTAATATGTGGTTCAATCCTTGAAATTAAACAATCCAGATGTGACTGAAGTGCAGCCTTTAAGCTTTAAGTTATGCTATATTGTATCCATTTTTATACATAGTCCTTATTTGCCTTTTAAATTCTTTTCAAGTTTGTCTCGAAGTAAATGTGTAATTTTTGTATGACTATTATATTCATTTTCTACCCTTTAAGTCTCTTGGTTGTTTAATGTTACGATGAAATGTAAAGATTTTAAAGCAGGTTGTTGCTCTGTTTTTACTTATTATATTGTTCAGTATATCTTTGTGTGTCTCACCCTCCTCCTGTGTCCATCAGGACGATCCTCGGCACTTACACAGATCCCACCATCGATGTTTCGGATCCAATCAGTGATCACTTCTACAAGGAGGTCTGGATGTCCACCAGCGCTCGCAACGCCTCCATCTACCAGCGAGTGAGTGTACTCCTTTGTGTTCAGCTCAACTTTTTCTTTCTTTTTCTAAAATATATTTTTTACATGAGTTTTCTATTATTTAATGGATGATTTAGTCAATATTAAAACTACAAGCATATCAGCTGAAGGTAAAGCTGAACTTTTCCACTTGCTGTCACACAGTCATGGAGGAATACTATAACTACATAATCAGTCATAGATCCTGAATAATGACATGAAAAAATTGCTCCAAGCTCCTGTTTCTCTCCTGCTCCTCCAGGTTTTCCGCTGTCTGCCATCCAGCGACGTCCGTAACATAATGGAGTTGGAGGGCTACCTGGCCAAGGCCGGCCTGGACAAGGAGGACCCGGCTCGGGCTCAGGAGGAGCTGAAGAAGATCCGTGGCTTCCTCGTTCAGTTTCCTCTTCAGTTCCTGTCTGAACAAAACCTGCTTCCACCCATCGGCTCCAAGGAGGCTATGGTGCCCATGGAGGTCTGGACCTGAGGCAGAGGGGGCACGTCTGTGTTCGTTGAGTGGAAGGTGGATAGAAAACACTCTGACGCCATTCTGGAGGTCTGACGGGGCTCTGACCAAAAACAGATGAGGTCATGCTGGAGCTTTTTAAATGTTATGATCTCTGTTTCACATCATAGATTATAGCTCATGATTGCATGTTAAGAAGACAGCATCTCCCTGAGTTGAGACTCTCAGGAGACATTTACTTTTAAACTGTAATCTGATCATGGCAACATGAGGAGTTCTCAGTGATGAGTATTTGGATTTAGACTCTCCACAAACACAGACCGATGTCAAAAATGCTGACATGTTCACAGAGAGCAGAGACTGGAAAAATGAAGTAATCATAGATAAAATCATACATGAAGTTTAAATGATAAATAAATGATTTGACAACAGGCAATTTATGTGATTTAAATAGATTACCTGGCAGCCTCAACAGGCGTGCCACAGGAAAACAGGTGTGGTCAAAACCGTTTAAAATGGTTGTGTCACACAAGGAAATCACAGAAATCGGAGATTATTTAGAAACACCTACTAATTACTGTGATGAGCTTTAAGCTGCAGCTTTAGAGGAATGTCTGCCCTTAAGGCAGAAATATTTCTGGATACTCATGTCAATAAAGCAGGAACTAAAATGCGGTCAGTTCCCCAAATTTTGTCCAAGCAGGCTTTTGTGTGTTTGTTCAAACCCACATTTGTTTGAGTTACACTAATCTGAAAAAACTCTAATAAGCTCCAGTTTCTAAACGAATATACGAGACCACACCTGAACATACATCAAGCAGCCACAACATTAAACCTTCTGACAGGTGAATCACATCTTGTGAAAAAACAGTGCTTTGCTGAGAAGCTTTGAGTCCTGGCATCCCATCAAAAGATAGTTGCAGACTAAATGCATACACCCTTTTATGTTACCAACACTCCCTGACAGCAGCGGTCTCGTCCCAGCATGATGAAACATGACGCAAAACCTTCCCGGGAACACGATCTCCACCTAGAGGCCAAAACTTCTAAACTCCACTAAAATCTGGTCGACCATCAGCAGGATGAGCCAGAGCAGGCAGAGCAATCAATGCAGCCCACATTATTAAAGGACAGTCATTAGGGTCGGGCATGGACCTCAAGTCCTGGGCAGTTTTTGCTTTGTGGAGGAGACCACTGCTGTTGCAACGGGTGGTAGCATGTAGATGTGCATGAGCTTGGTCTGCAGAAATCGTGATACATACCAGGGCCCTGGGGCAGAATCTTTAATTGCATCAAAATTACAAATGTTATTCATTTAAACTGCCAGGACTTCTGTTCTCACAGCCTGGGGTGACCACATCATGACTGTCCCCACTTTGTGACATCATACAGAGCCAATAGTGGAAACATTTTTATAAACAGAGGGTTTGGAGCAGTGAGAGTTTTGGGCTCAGCCATGTTTAACATGACTATCCACCATCTGATTTATGACAGAAGGTGGACAGACCTAAATGTTGTGGCTCTTTGGTGTGTGTTACTTTCTGTGTTTAGTAGCTCCAAAAACCAGAATTGACTCTTTGTTACAGACATACAGCAGTTTTGATTACAGCCTTGTAAACGTCACCTCCAGCATGGCGTCAGCTGTGATGTAACATCTATGAACCTAACCTTACAATGTTCAAAGACTGAGAGAGACTCCACAGCTTCCCAGAGCTCATATGTGCACACAGGTTGCTTCTGAACAGAAGCAACAGACATGGGCGTACAAACCAGCAACAGAGGGAGTGATGGACTCTACAGTGCCTGAAAATCTAGGCCTCGTGTTTACAGGAAAAAATGAAATTCCCCTGTCACCGTGAAGCTATTACTCTACCTTTTTTGTTTGTTTTTTAAGTACAGCTTGAGCCTCCGTTCTCTAACAACACTATGCAACGTCCAGCTCTGACTCTTCTGCTTTCAAAAGACACTAAATCGTTAAATCCAGCAGAGCAGAGGCGGGGATGAAGAGCCGGATCGAGCTGTCGGGCGTCTCTGCACATGTTTTCCTTTTAAACTTGTCTCATGTGGCTGCTTTTAATATTTATGTCAAACAGGAAATCAAACGTGCCAAAGATGACGGACTGTACGCTGATGTTAACACACATTCCTCATACTGTGGATTCTGCATGACTTAAGCCTCAAGTGACCTACGTTTATACCAGCTGTACTGATATAGCTCTATGTTGCTGGTTTCTAATTTCCTAATAATAATTTTCTGGAAACCACTACTGTAACTTGGTGATTGGGGGATTTAAATAATAATAAATATTTATTTATTACTTGTGTGTAATTGGGAACATTTTTCTAGATGTAATAAATTATTTTCATTGGTTGACTTTTAGAAAGACTCCAGTTATTGAGATCAATTCATACAACGTGTCACTATTTCCAGGAAACTATTAGGAAATTATAGACTTGTACAAAGCTATTTTATTTTGGAGAAGCATGCATGAAGAGTTTATTAAATTGCTGCATTTCCTTTTGTGTCAGAAAGCGGAAATTTCCCACAATGGCTAACTTTGCATTAACAGGTAATACTGGTTTGTCACTGGTATAATGGATGTTTTATGTCCACCAGGGGGCGGTAGAACAACATGTTACCACTTTAGTAAGTTGTTGTGATGACTGTGTCTGCAAACTGTTGCCAGTTTAGACAAGCAGCAGGAATAAAGACACGTGACTGTCCATTACTGCGTTCACCTGCTGAATATCCATCAAATCTAATTCGGAAAGTTATGATGCCAAAGTCTGTCACTGTTCCAGATGGTGATTCCCAATGTTTGGTTGACTGAATGATTGAACTGTGGTGCTTGGATAGATCTCCCCTTGGTGAACTTGTGTGTGCAGCGTTGCTACCATGAGACACTGCAGTCACATGTTTTTGCTACCATGAAGTCAATCAAAGCTCTCTTATCTTAGATCAGGACGTCTGCCTGTGATACTTGTGATACTATTTGCATTCTGCCTTTTAGTCATTTTAAATTATCCGGTGTTAACAGTCATGGGGGATCTAAAAGAGTAGCTTCTGTCACATTTTCACAATCCTGAATCAACTATTCACCCCAAAAGTCAAACTTTCACTCTTTCAGCTGCATATTTGGTCTCCACCTACTCTAAGAATTGCCTCTTACAGTTCAGCTGCTACATGTAACACTATACTGATCGGCTACTTGGATAGTCTGTGTAGAGTTGAGGAGAATCCAACAAACAAAAGCCTTCAATGCTTGTGGCGTTCCTTTGAAATTGGATTAAGTGTTGGTCCTATTTGGAACAGAACTGCACTTTGGTGTAAAGTGCGACGAAGTCAGACCACAAGACTTTCATGATTTCATATTGACTTTGTGGACTTTGACTGATTTATGTCAAAATTTGGGTAAATATCACCGTGACCATGTCCATGTCAAAATAGACAATTTCAGTTTTAACCTTTTTATTGCTCAAATCAGCCCTAACTTCTGGTGATTAAAAGAGGACTTTTGTGGATGCAAACATGGCTTCACCTTGTGGAAAATATGTCTTTAAGTGCGTTATCAAGAAGATATTACACCAGCTTTGTCTTTGTACTTTGTTTCTGCTCCCCTCAAGTTGCCAAAAGATATTATTGCAGGTTTGGAATATTTACAGTTAAATACCTTCTGATTAACCAGATTCTGATGCATGAAGCCTCATGCATCAGAATCTTCTGATCTTCTAACACATCTGGAACGCAGCATCACTATTAGTGTCTTCCTCGTTGGTCTGTTCCTCTGCATGATGCTGTTTTGTGCTGTAAATTTGAAATGTAAGGATCTTTACTGACTGCAGCTGACAGCATCTCGTTGCCATTAAACCGTCACGGACAAACGTGTGAACTTTGTCAGTTTTCTGAACAGTTTTCTTTAAAGCCATTGTTGAAGCTAATCGTGTGTCTGTCTGTAAGATAGACCTGATACTTTAATGTTGTTGGAAATTGGACCTTAAGTGTGCTCTTTCTGTTTAGTCTTCCTCTCTACCTCCCTGTGTTTCTACCTCCTGGTCCAGCGCTTTCTCAGCTCCTCACCTTTTCAGCTTTTGTGATATCAGATTAAATCTAAATCAGAAGCTTAAAATATAAAAGGCTGAGCTCAAATCAATCAACTTAAACACAGAAATATATCTGAAATCTGACTGTTTGCTCGTGTTCTTTGAATCTCAGCTTTTCTCTCGTCTGCCTTTGTTTTTGCTGTATCTCTATAAAAATGCACTATTTGCACAGTTTGTTTCTTTGTGGCAGCCCCTTAAAGTGATCTGCACATCATGTGTTGCTTTTTGAAATGATGGATTAAATAAATGAGGTGTTAACAAGTCATTAAAAAGCATCTGATCATGTTGTTCAGTGATTCCTTAGTTCAGTTCAACTCAGACTTATACTGAGACGCTCAGTAGCATCTTCTTTAGAGTTTTCTGTCAATCTACACAGAGGCACAAGCACTCACTGTGCTGGATCTATATGGGCTGTTCAGCACCTACGATGTTAAATATTAAAATGTTTTCATTATCAAAGTCTAATTCTTTAGGATTTAAACCCTTGTATGGAAATACATATTTTTTCATGATATCACAATTGTTCTTTTTTGTTGAATGAAATTCAATATTTCTTTTTATTCATAAAAGATTAACATTTTTTTTCCTGTAATTAAAATGGAAAGTTTAAAGTTTGTGAAATAGGAATGTCCGGCTAAGAATCCACTGTAGAAAAATACATTTTAAATAGATTTTAAAAACACCTTTTATTTCTTAATAACATGGTATACATTTTTAAATTCTCATCATCTATTTCTCAAAGTTATAAAATGCACAAATGTCTTTAAAACTGACAAAAATGCTAAATTCATAACATGAAATGCTGAAATTAATGTGATTAATGTGAGTAGTTTTATGGCTTCATTTATTCGTAAATGTTTGGAAACTTGTTTAAATATTAATCATTTCATTCTGTTTCCCTGCCTTTCTTTTGTCACATGATGGAAGTGTTACTTAAAAAAAAAAAATCCTTTCTTTCAAACCAGGGGTCTCAAACTCCAGCTAGACGCCGGTTAGCTTAGCATTGCACAAAATTTGAAAGCACCAGGAAAACACACAAGTTCAGTTCAGTACAGGTTTATTTATACAGCACTAAATCACAACAGGACTTTCTACTGAAAGGTAATTTATCTTAAAGAAAATCACCCCTACTTGTGGCTCGTGTATGTGAAGGAATACAATGCAATCTGGCCCTTGAAGCTGCTTTTTTTGTTAGGGGGATTTGTTTGTTGTTCTTCTTTAAAAAGCAAAAAATGATTTAATATGAAGGCAAAATACAAGTTTACATTTGCAGTTTAAAATGAAAGAAACGGCGAAAAGAAAAAAAACAAACACTACATTTTTGGATTTCTGGATGTTTTCTTATTTATTTGTACTACTTTAGCACTAAAGTGGCCAGCAGGGACCCACAGCTCATTTAAGATTGAGTCCCTGTTACAAACCAATGCTTTAGTTTCTTTTTACTCAAATCTACTGTGACACACACCAGTTTAAATGTTTTTATTTACATGACTACTTTTTAAAAATCTCCCGTCAAATGGAACAAAACTGTGATGCGCAATACAAACATCAGTTGAACTGAATCCACAACAAGAACAAACAAACTCTATGAAAGAAAAATGGCATATCAGTGAAATCGAGTGGAAACGTTCAGATGGCTACAATTTAAATTCCATAAGAAGCCCATAAACACTCACTCCTCTGTGACGCTGGGCTGATCATTGTCAAAAAACTCAGATGTGGATTACTCCAGATGTGAAAGTGAGCACTGACAAATTCTCCCTGTTTGATAAAACTCACAGCAATCACCTGAAGTATTAAAGAAATCTTCTTATGGAATTTGTTGACATGAAATGAAAAACACATAACAAACAAACATCCAACACTGCCTTATAAGGAAAGATGATGGAAATCAATCTGTTGGTAGGAAACCGTGACCCTGGTATCAAAGACTATCCACCATAAAGAGACACCTGCAGTACTTCACAGGTTTTTACATATTTTATGGAAATAAACCACAGAGGCTTTAAATAACTACAGGTCATCTGCATGTTGGTCCAGTTCTATCTTTGCATTCGCAGTGTTAAATAAACCTTTAAGGCCCAATTCTTGGATGTGTTTCAAATGCACGTTTGACACTTGAGAATACAGATGTAGAAAAATACAATCTACACAATCAAAACTGAACAGCATCACCTCTGTTTTTGTTGGCATTTACGTCTTTTTCTAGTTACTTTTTACAGCAACTGTAACGGCAGTCTCGCTTTTCATGCCCCTCTGAGTTTGGCAGGAGATTTACAAGAATCGATCGAGCTTCTCAAGGATTTCATTCCTCATCTTAGGCATGACCTGTGAAATATATTTCCATTATGCATATATGATTAAAAAGACAACATGGTTTAATGTGATCAGGAGGAAGTAAACTTACGTGTCTTTTCAAAGGTTCAGGTTGGACTCTATAAATCGGGGGGAAAACATCTACTGTTTGTCCTTACACACGGAGTTCTGTAAAAAGAAGAAGTCATGCATTTATAAACAGTGCACTGAAACTGTTACACAACGCAGTTTGTCAATATGACGTTCCAGCTAGAAGCCGGTTAGCTTAGCATTGCACAAAATCTGAAAACAACAGGGAAACACGTGAACTAAGCAAACAGTGAAGAAAGTTCAGTTCAGTACAGGTTTATTTATACAGCGCTAAATCACAACAGGACTTTCTACTAAAAGGTAATTTATCCTAAAGAAAATCACAGCAAGCACTTGGCGACAGCGGGGAAGGAAAAACTGCCTTTTAACAGGAAGAAACCTCCAATAGAACCAGGCTCAGGGAGGAGCAGCCATCAGCACTGAGTTGTTGTATTAGTTAAGAGTGGTTGAGATTTGTATTTATATCTCTTTCTTTGTATTATGTTTTAGTCTCCCCACAGAGTCACACTGAATCTTGTCCTCAAACCCTTTTTAGGTCACGTCCTATTTTACTTTGACTTTGTGCCTGTTTGATCCTGGTGTTTGCTGGAGTTTGGTTGTTGTTTTGCTTCATGAACTTTGTACACTTGGAGTTACCTCTAATTTTAGACCAGCTAGCATTTTCTTAATAAAGGTATCAGAAAGCAAGACAAAGACAGGGAATTAAGGCACCTTTAATCATGCTTACTTCACATTTTCATTCTCCAATTTAGATCCGATCAGCTCCTGGTTGCAGTTGTGTTTCATCAGCAGAAACTTGGCTGTGGGAAACTTCGGTGCGTCCATCTGTAGCTCATCACTGAAAGACAGATTCACTCAGTCACTTTGGCTAAAAGAGAAAAATGTAGCCTGGCTGCAGTAAAAGTACAGAAGATCAATAAAGTCAGTCATTCGAGGGTTGAGGATTTAGCAGCTGCCCTCGGAGTGTGCTGAACTGAAACAAGTTTGTGTTTTATTACTTAGAAGTTATAAGCTATATTTAACAGTTTGCACCATGTTACTTCTTTGGGACATTTTCTACATACAGCTGGCATCAATCTATAGTCAGTTGCAGATAGTTTCAAATAGAAAGTCAAGAATATCGTGCACGGGCACTGTGACCACCAGCTCTTAATCATCCTTTACATTTAGTGCATTTATTCTCAAGACTGGTTGGTATTAAGTGATTTTACACATGTACGGATCCACGTTCGGAACAGCCAGCTTCTCATGTCACTGTAACAGCTGAATGTTAAATGTTGTCTCACTCTGTATGTTTGTGGTAATAACTGAAGCACCGACTGATGGGACGCTTTGTGAATGTGGACCAGCTGGTCGCTCCAGTCTCTGCTATGTGCTTCTCTGCAATGTTTCCATCCTGGTATCCTTCACGGGGCGCCATTTTGACTGGTTCAAAGCACCTGAATGAGATCAGGAAGATAAACACCTGAGCAAAACTGTTCACTGTTAGAGAAAGTATGCAGATGGTTTAGTCTGTAAGAATGTGGAACCACTTCAAACATTCATTACATCTTATGAGCTCCACGAATAATTATAGTTACAGCATAGCATCTAAGTATTTCTGAGATAAAGCTGCGTCCGTCGCATAGAAAGAGACAACCATTCATTCTCATCCATGTAGTTATTCATTTAAAAAAAATACATTTTGTTGGTTTATTAATAATATTTTTTATATGCATGCCCTTTCATTATTATTTAGAATCACCAATTAACCTAACCCCACTAAAGGCATGTTTTTGGACACATGGGGAGAACATGCCATCTCCACACAGGAGGACCCAGCCAGTGGAGTCACACTCAGGACATTCCTGCTGTGAGACAACAGTGCTAACCACCACAGCACCGTGCTGCCTGCCGAAACAACAACTGTATTTTTTATCTTCTTTTTTCTTCTTCTATTTTTTGCATTTAACATATTAAATGTAAAAAATAGAAAAAAAACAGAGGAGTAACTGAGTAAAGGCAGCTAAGTACTTCACACTGATAGCGTCACACTCACTGACTGCAATGATTCAGAGCAGGGGTGTTAAATATGGGCTGCGGAGGCCAGAACTGCTCTACGAGAGACTACAAGCAAACTAAACAAACAAACGAAAAAAACATTAAAAAAAAAGTCAACACACAAAATGTCCGTTTCATTTTACACAGATGAATGAAGAGCAGAGTTCTTTGGTCATGCATCAGGTAGAAACAAGTAGAAACTGTTTCATTTTCACTGACAGCACAATTAAGTTCCCACACCTGCTTTCACCCTGGACAACGTTTTCTTCAGACACAAAATTTAAACAGGTGGTCGGAAACATGACTGTCAGTAAACACGAGCCCATACAAAAGCAATTTTATATTCATTTGATATTTTTATATTTATACTTTTATATTTTCATCAGTTGCAAATTGTTATTTCTTAGATGCTCCATTTTTCTCCGTTACATTTATAATTAAAGCTGCAAGAGGCGTTATGAGGGCCATCGCACCCCGGCGCATCGAGCCACACCCAACACCTACACCCATCACGTCTGATCTGATGTCACATTGATGGAATTCATGCGTAGAACCACGAGCTAAAATTTCATCTTGTTCAATGATGATTATAGTCGTCCCACTAGGTGGCGCTCTAACTATTACTGAGAAATCGAGAAATCAGCCTGCGATGTCTGGGAGATACTGGGCATTGTGTTTTTGAGTGACAGCAGATTACTGCTCTTTGGCGAGTGATTGAAACTCCACGTGCCGCCATGACCACCCCGTTTCCCTAAACGTAAAAAGCGTCGCAATTTAATATCACAAAGGTCTTTAGAGTCCCTGCACCGGAGATCACGTCATTTTGATGAAATCCCTTGGAGGAGTTCGTCTAAGTATGAGGCCTGAAAAGAGGGGAAAATGTCGCGAAAATGACACTTTAATTTTAAAATGGCTGACTTCCTGTTGGATTTGGGATATTGCTCCAAGAGACTTTTTTGTACATCTTGATATCTTCAATAAGCTTACCAGGTCTCAGACTCATAGATGAAACGCAGAGCAGGGGCTGATGTTTTGAAATTTTGTAAGGGGCGCTGTGGAGCCATTTTCCAATATTCCATGAAAATGATCACATAACAAGGAAGACTTCATCACATTGGAGGTGTGCGTCAAATTTCAAGAGCTTTTAAACTTTCCAAGCCCCTCTAAAGTTACTTCATCTTTCATCATGAACCGCGTTGCCACCAGGGTGCGTTGTTCAGTTTAAAGTCACAATTTTCTCACTGAAGCATCACGAGGAACTGATGTTAATATCCACCGCTTTTGAGGTGGACCTGATGAACCTGTAAAAATCAGTGCAACAAAATAAAAGACATGATATTTCCTGTTGCCACTAGGTGGCGTTCTGCGTATTCCTGACAATGGGCACATCAATCTGTTCAGGGCGGGTCTGACATCATGCCTGTAAAGTCTGGTACTGATCAGCCTGGATTTTATTGAGTTATACTAATTTGTTTTTCATGGTGTGACATCAAAGTTCGCCATGCTGCTGGGGTCACACCCTTTCACAAAAACTCACAGTTTTCATTGTAACCCAAGACCAACTCCTTAAGGCTTTCCTGGAAAAATTTGAGGCTGCAGATGTTACCCATCAATATACTGTACCCCAAAGTGTAAAACATGACACTTCCTGTTCCCAATAGGTGGCGCTCTACTTGATGTCAAATATGGCAGTTGAAATTTGTTCAGGGCTGGAGCCTTATCATATGTGTGCTCTTTGGTCCAGATCGCACAATGTATGAAAGAATGAGAGGCAATAAAATTTTGATGGCAAATCATCGAAATTCGCTGTGGCGCCACGATCACGCCGTATCCCAAAAACTCAAAAGCTCCGCAATTTAACATGGCCCAGGTGTGTAGTTGACACTGACCAAATATGAAGCTTATACGATCAAATCCCAAGGAGGAGTTCGCAAAAGTACGAGACGTGGAAATGGGAAAAACGGAGCCAAAATGTCACCTTCAATCCAACATGGCGGACTTCCTGTTGTGTTTGCGTCAGTGGTCCCACTGACTTTTTGTCCGTCACAGCATGATACACGTGTGTGCCAAAATACATTCATGTAGCTCAATCAATGTTTTCGTAGGGCTGCATTTAACAATGCATAGGTGGCGCTCCAGAGCCATTTTCCAATGCTCATATGTAAAACCATTAAAATACAAAATATTTCACCAGACCTGACATGTGTGCAAAATTCGCACTCTCACTGCTCGGGCCCTAATAAACTAAAAGATCACATTAAAAAGGTGCCAGTCCAGGTCTGGTTAGGACAAGTGTTAATCCAATTGGCCACGCCCCTAACTTAACTTTCCAGACAGAGAAGTAAAAAAAAAGAACAAAACAAAACAAATAATACTCTTAAAGCGAAGGCTGTCACGGAAACTCAAGCCTAAACTCTCACATAAATTCCATCCATCCCATTCGTGCTTCTTCTAGATAAGATCATTATTTTCCACCTCAGGTTATGTAAAGAATGTCGAGCTCGTGTCTGAAAGGTGCTGAACAATTAAGCGCAGCTTGCCTTTCTTTCCTCTGCTCTCATTTGAATTCCTCATGTTTGTCCAGCTTTAGAAATCAATAATGATTTTCCTATAGCCACAAGAATTTCTACTTTTTTCCCAGCATTTATATTTTCCAATCGCATTGCTGGAAAAAGTTGTCATCACCATCTTTTGCACAGGTAACACGAACGCCTGGTTTTAGGTTTTTGTCTTTCACCGATACAAAACTCTCTTAGAAGCAACTTTATTCCTAAGTACAAATTTTGAGTGGATGTGCACCTGTGTAGGTTTTACTTTTAAAGAAATAAGAGAAGCGTGGGAGTGCACCACAGGTCACGAAAAGCTCGTTGAACTGCTGTAATTTAGTGTTCCCACTGAGCAGCAGACAAAACTGAGTTAGCTAGATTACAAAAGGAGCTGCACAGCAAAACTAAGGTAGGTCAGTAAAGCCATCTATGGAAAAGTGGTTCAGGGGTTGATATGCTCCTCTTGTAACCAGAATGTTGCTGGTTCGATCCCCAGCTGTGTTTGTCTTGGTTGTTGTGTCCTTGGGCAAGACATTTCACCTACTGCCCACTGGTGTTGGCCAGAGGGGCTGATGGTGTGATATGGCAGCCTCGCTTCTGTCAATTTGTCCTGTGGCAACTGTAACTTACCTCCACCAGTGTGTGAATGAATAGTGCAACTGTAAAGTGCTTTTAGGGTCTCGAAAAGTGCTATATAAATGCAATCCATTATTATTATTAAAAGAAACCTTGGAAAAGTTGAATTTGCTTCATTGTACTCTGGACTCTGAAAGTGGGATCAGGCTATAAAGAGCCAGAGATAAAGAGATTTGATCTTATTTAAGCAAAGAGGGCAGGTGCTGATCCACAATGCCCAACACAAATAACGGCAAAACAGACAAAGCAAAACTGTGGTTCACAAACTTCACCCATTTGTTGCACCACAGAAACTGATGCACATTAGTGCGTAAGATGTTAAAAGTCACAGATTTAGCTGGAAAACATGAGATTTGCAGAAATTATTACTTTCTTTCTTCCTCACACCATCCAGCTCACCCTCTGCTCCGACACAAAAACGGCACATACAACGTGAGACACAACAGATCGGTCAGCATCGTCACACACAGAACAAGGTTTTTCAGCTTCCTCCCCGGCACTGTACGACTGATGGCAAAACAAAAAACACTGAACACTTAAAATAACACAACACTACCTCACTTCAAATGTACATTGGGATTAAGTCACTGACTGATGTTGCAGTATACTCACTGAAACAGATTTGTGTAAATGTGCAATGTTATGTTTGCAGTACTAAGAAGTGCATTACCATCCTCTCTGTACAGTGTTTTTGTATATAGTAAACATGATGATTGATATGATTGATCCATTAGTTGCTTTGTTTTTATCTTGTAAAAATGTAACTTGACCCGGAGAGCTCTGCGCAAATGGCAAATAAAAATCTTGAATCTCTGATCCTGTAATTTAACTATAGAACATTTTGATACTCCAAAGTCTGTTTCAGTAGGTTTGAACTTTGCCAGTTTCAAATTGTGTAACATAAACCATCTCATACATACTTATGAGCTCAGGCTTTTGGGCCTTTCTGGGATTTGAAGTGTGGCTGATGATAGAGTTTTAGTAAATCTGGCAATAAAACTAATAATAACAGTTTCATTCTTCTTTCAAAAATGGTTCCTGATAAAGAAGAGAATCACAGGAAGCAAACTTTACACAAACACACTGTGATACCGCTCTGACTGCACTATTGTCAGCACTTACCCTCAGTTGTAGTTTGGATTTCAGCTTCTCCTCCGACATCCCAAAGCCAAATCAGAAATGTCCTCAGTTTTCTGCTCTTTTCAACTGGTTCTTTGACACTTGAGATTTTTGATCATTTGCCAAGTTAACTTTGCCACTCCTATAGAACACCTGCACGAAGAGGAATTTCAATCTGGAAAATAGCCAAGTCGCCTCATTTGATAAACCTCACCCTGCGTCACTGAAAACAGGTATGCTGAGTTAGGTAACGAAGTTGTTTGCATCTAATCCTTCAGGCTCATAATAGTGGTGGAAAATGTTACAAATTCTGTTATTTGATATTTAAGCAGTGGAAAATTCATTGTGCACACCAAAATAAATCACAGTTATGATGCAAGCAACTCTATAATATAGTAAATTATTATAATAGATGGTAAGGTTATGGCATGGTACTGAGGGTGACCCAGTGTTTGTACTTATTTAGAAGTTACAAACTACATAAATTACTTACATTTACAATGTAATTTAATGTGTTTTTATAAGGTGCTGTCAATTTTTTTTTAGCTTCTTTGCCTCTGAAACACTTTTTAATGAGACGACCTTACAAAGATTTTAAAATGCAATTGAAGGCCCAATTTTCAGGATTTGAACCTCAAAACAAAACTGGTATGAACAACAAAATATCAATTTATGCTGTTAAGTAATGGAAAACTATAAAGAAATTATGTTCCTACATGCATATGTATACATGCATGTATGGAGTATACAAGCATTCAAATGTATGCATTAGAGATGGACCGATCCGATATTACGTATCGGTATCGGTCCGATACTGACCTAAATTACTGGATCGGATATCGGAGAAAAATAAAAAATGTAATCCGATCCATTAAATATCACGAAAGCACCTCACAAAACTTGCAACACGCCGTAACTCACCTCAGAACGTTAACACGTCGGAGCAGTATGCATCACGTGATAGAGCGGCTGTGGCATGCGGGACCTGTCGGTGGTCTGGATAGCATTTGGAGCTTCGCTAGCAACCCGGCATTTCATCTCCGACAAAGTTATCCCCGAGAGAAGTAAAGCAAGTGTGTAAGTTCATCTCTGAATGTTTGTAAAGCATTCCTGCGTTAAGCTTAACCCTATTAGTTAGGTTGCTTAATATTTACGCTAAGTGCTCTTTAAAATACCAGAATAGGGAGGATGGTGTAGGTTTAAGTTTATTAGATTGATCAGTATTGCTGAACTATGAAATATTTTTTTTTGCATACAGGTATAACAGAATAGCTTTAGTGTAGTTGTTGTTTTAAACTTGAGTATGAACTTATACAAAATGCAGCAAGATATTTAAAAAACAGTTTTGTTGATTAAAAAACACTATATCGGATTCATATCGGTATCGGTAGATATCCAAATTTATGATATCGGTATCGGACATAAAAAAGTGGTATCGTGCCATCTCTAGTTGCTATTGCAAATTTTCAAATATATATATATATATACATATATATATATATATATATATATATATATATATATATATATAGTGAAAAATATTTTTGGGCCATATTGTCCCGCCCTAATGCCACGATAAGGCACGAAACTACCTGAACATTAAATAACGCCATCATATCTATTTTCAGCACTTTTAGTTTTTCATGATCGTGTAAACAAAAATCATAACTGAAATGAAAATCTGAATAATCACTCAGAGCTGCTTTTCCATGCAGTAGAATTGCTAACATGCTAACACAGTTTAATGAGCAGAGTTGTTCCAAACAGTCAGGCTAAAATGACAAGACAACAATATAAATACATACCTCACAGTAACTGCACTTGTAGAGTCTCTTTCTGGTGTGGATCTGTTGGTGTCGTCTCAGGTAATGTATAGTTTTAAAAGTCTTCGCACACAGGTCACATTTATGAGGTCTCTCCTCAGTGTGGGTAAACATGTGGCCATGTAATTGTGTGTCTGTTATAAACTGTTTGCCACACTGATCACACCAGTACACATCATGTCTGGTGTGAATGCGTAGGTGTATGGTTCGGCTGAACGGCCGGCTGAAGGTTTTTCCACAAATCTCACAGCTGTATGCCTTAATTCCAGAGTGACTAACTAGATGCCGCTGTAAGCTGCTCTTGCGAGAAAAAGCTCTGCCACACTGATCACAGCTGTACGCTTTAACTCCACTGTGGATGAGTTGGTGATTTTTCAGGGAACGCTTCCAGGAAAAAGACTTTCCACACAACTCACAGCTGAACGGTTTCTCTCCAGTGTGGATGACCTGATGACGTTTTAGTGTAGACTTCTCAGTAAAATCCTTCCCACACTCATCACAGGTGTATGTTTTCTCTCCCTTTCTTCTGTGAGGTTTGTCGGCCTCCTGAGAGCGCTGACTTCTCGCTCCATGTTGGTCCTGCAGTGACAGAGATACAAACAGAGGCAGTGAGTGAAATGCAGTCGTGGAACAAACTCAACCTTCAAACTCCCTCCATTAACACTAGTTTTAAACCTGTGGCACCAAACACCTTAAAGGCATCTTATCCCCACCTGCTGGTAGTTCTGACACATTACATTCAACCTGGTCTTAAAAATAATTCATGACTGTTCAAACACTCTAAAATAATCTTTTCCTTATTTTCCTTACTTTTACTCCCCACAGAAAAAAAGACTTTCTACTCATTATATTATCAAAATAGACTTTTTACTTTTGGTTTCAAACTCAAACTGATTTGAGCCTGAAAATTAACACATGAAAGACAATCCTGATCGTGTACTAATCACCAGGGTATGAAACATAAAAAGAGATGAAAGAGGCAAAACTGTGAGTCATAGTCAGGAGTTAAAGTGAGACGTTGTTCTTCTTTCTTTTTTGCACAGCACCTGAACAAACAGGTAATTTCAAATGCAGCGTTTCTATCAACAAACATCAGCAAACACACAAACTGTTTGTGTGCAGTTTGTCTCACAGTGTGTTGCTGGCTAAAGGTCCAGCTGCTGTACATCACAGGGAGAGAAAAGAAAGAGAGCTAACTTCACTCAGAGATGGAGAAAGATAAGACACACAGGACAGGAGAGGAAGAAGAGAGGTTAGATTTAAAGGGAAGGACTGCTCAGTGGGATTCGATCAACTGGAGATTAAAGCTTACATGTAAGTCCTCATGTGTTGAAATCAGATATTGGGTCTGTACTAGAGATGGCACGATACCACTTTGTTATGTCCGATACCGATATCATAAATTTGGATATCTGTCGATATGAATCTGATATAGTGACAGGGGATTTCTTTAAATCACCCTGTAATTCTTCAGCTAAGACACCTGAGTTAGAAAACACAAAGACTGCAGTCGTATTTACACGCGTGGGCAGTCACTTCTGAGATCTGCGAATCTGCGATCTGCCTGCGTGGTACATTTATACATGTCTGTGTGTGTGTGTGTGTACAAAAATAACAACGTCACTCAGAGCAACAGAATCAGCACATACACACTTAAGATTATAGTTTCACTTCTGTAAAAAACATGCTCTGCAAACCTGCAGTTTCCTGTCTACACTTTGTACAGAGTGTACTAAAAGCAACGGGTTCTTTCCCTTTTCTACATTTGTACTCAAAAAACAGGAAATGGTTCAGTAGCTGGATAAATTCATCACAAGGTTATTGGGTGAAAAGTCACATAGACGTTTAGCACATTTCATGAAGCTGATCAAATTATATGAAAACAAACATCTCTTGACATATAGTGTGTTTTTAATCAATAAAGCTGTTTTTTTAAATATCTTGCTGCTTTTTGTATAAGTTCATGCTCAAGTAAAAACAACAACAAAAAAACAAAAAGAAAAAACTAAAGCTATTCTGTTATACCTGTATGCAAAAAATACACTGCACCCAAATATTTCATAGTTCAGCAATACTGACCAATCTAATGAATGTAAACCTACTCCATCCTCCCTATTCTGGTATTTTAAAGAGTAAGCAACCTAACTAATAGGGCTCAAACTCCCAGCAAAAAAAAAAAACAAAAACAAAAGGCAACCACCCACCCTCCACCTCATGATACTTGCAAGGAAATCAATTATTTTTCAAGAACATTTAAATAGATTCAACATCTTCAACAGATTTGCAGACTGCACAGATGGTACCTTCCCAAAGGAAAAAGTACTACAGCTTACTAGGGTATATTAGACTTAACAGTTACTATATACAGTAATGAACTTCTATACATTTTACATCAGATTAAAACTTTGGGTGTAAGCTTCGTATAATTATTTATTAAAAGCTAGACATTTTAAATGAGAATAAGAAAGAAAAATATGTCTTTGTGCCCCCTTTTCCCTGTTAATGCCCTATCGGCCCCCCTGGCTAAACTTTGCTAGATCAGCCCCTGCACAGTTACCAGCGTCAGCTACGTAGAAAAAGATCCTGGTGTGGAACGTAAATAAATTCTAACAACAGCTTATCAAGCTTAAACGTGCTGCAGTTGTTCAGCCGCTGGTTTCCTCTTTCTGGTGCGAAGTGGGCCAAAAACAAACAAGAGAGACGGACTCGCGACAGAAAAGCCGATCAGCTGATCGTTAAGCAGTTTCATGATTGAAGTAGCAGCAGGAGAGAGAGAGAGAGAGAAGAGGCAGTCGCTCCATATATCGGTTGTTAAGCTTAACGCTGGAATGCTTTACAAACATTCAGAGATGAACTTACACACTTGCTTTACTTCTCTCGGGGATAACTTCCTCGGAGATGAAATGCCGGATTGGTAGCAAGGCTCCAAATGCTCAAACAGACTGCAGACAGGTCCCGCACGCCACAACCACTTTATCACGTGATGCATACTGCTGCCACGTGCTACGGTTATGAGCCGAGTTACGCCATGTCGCAAGTTTTGTGAAGTGCTTTTTTGATATTTAATGGATCAGATTACATTTTTTATTTCTCTCCGATATCCGATCCAGTAATTTACGTCAGTATAAGACAGATACCGATACATAATATCGGATTGGTCCATCTCTAGTCTGTACATATGATTTTATGTCTTTTTTTCAGATTATGAAACTTGCTGCAAAACAATCTGAGGCAGATTAACTGT